TCCACTGACGTTAATAGCTTTGTAGAAACATTCATTTACACTGGCTATGACTTACTACACAAGCACTAATAGCTGTTTCAGATTCTTTTAGTTAAAACACATATAATTATGCAATATTAGAAAATAAACCAAACACTGACTCAGCTAAACGCTCAAATATTATGAGAAAAAATTCACACTAACTGGTTCTCTTTATTACGAACACCTTATCTTTTATGTTCATTTTAATGCTCTAAATATAGTTATGTATAAGCAAATTATATTTATTTACTTAGTGATTATATCCTGATAAACTAAGAAGCAAGTATTTTCTTGCAGGGAAAAACCTGCAACAAGACAAGCAACCACAACAAAAAGATTACAACTGAAAATTTTTGACATATTTATACAACTATGTTGAAAATCATAACACTATTTTGAAGAGATACAGAGATACAAATTTACATGACTTAAATTGAATGAATTCTTCAGTTTGGAAGATCTCTCAGAAACAGCATAAATAATAACTCTTTTCTATCTCTTCAAAGAAAATAAAGTTTAATGTGTCTCTCCATTGGATGTCAGTATTGTACCACTAAAATATCACTGGCAGCTTTACCTTGCAAAAAAAAAAAAAAAAAAAAATACACTGGATACCTTCCCGATGAACTCAAAAGTCAAGCTATTTTACATAACTTTACCTACAACCCAGTTAGTTATATTATTGTTGCTGCCTGCTACATATGCCTCTGTGCTGATTCTCTTTCAGCAGCTACAAAGTCCTGTTGGTTCAAAAATGAATGCATTTGAAATATGACTTGAAAATGGCACTACCGCTTTGAATAACCTTCAAAACCACTTACAGGAGGTTTCTAGGCTGGTGTACAAGTGAGGATGATTAATTTTTTAAAAGAATAATAATTCAATTTTAAAAGATACACAGTTACTCACCTTGCGTGCAATAGCCTGTTTGTACATTTTGTAGGTGGTTGGCAGGAAGTTACAGAATGATTTCTAAAGCTGCAAGCGGAGGTGTATACCATACCATAATATATTTATTAAGGACTAATGCAAGCCATATTGAGTTATAGGAAGGAAAATATATTCCCCAGTGCTTAGAATTTACTGAACATGATGAATTCGAATGAGATTGTTTAGTGAGCAAAGGAGGAATTTCCATGCCTACCTCCCCAAACAAATAAATCACTGCTTATATCCTGGGAATGTTTCCAAATAGTATATGTTTAATGATATAAGTAGTATTTATAACCTAGTTTATATTCACGTCTTTTTCGTCTTGCTTTTCAAATACATACTTCAGACTGAGGCTACAAATACCAAAGATGTGTTCGAGATAGAATACTAGGGTACCAAGGTCATTTATCCTTGAATTTTTCTTTTCTGTTTTAAGACAAAAGCAGCCTTGCTACACTGAATGGCTACCTTGTATTCTTCCATAAACAGCCCAGAATAATCTAAGGAATAGCATAAGAGTAACTTTGCAATCATCCTTATTCTGTTGCTGAAAAAAAGGGTCGGTGGACTAACTAGAAAAGAAGAAGACTTTCTGTCTTAGATTGGCCATCTGTTCTGGCCATTTCATTGAAGACTCTTTTTGTTGTTTCTGTTCCTGAGTCAGTGTCTAGTTGCTAACTGATAAATGTTAAAAGGCTCACAAAATATACACTTGGAAAAAGTGCTACATTGCAAATGTGAAGCTGGATTTTCAGAATTCCCTGCATGATATACATGTGAGATCAAACGTATTTAAGAGAGCACATATTTAGAAGAACACAATTACATAGAAATGAGCAAAGGAGTAAATAAAACGTAAAAAAAGAGACACCTACACTTGATAACAGGCGGTCTGAATGTCAGTTTGTTTATCAGGTGACAAAACATACTAAAAATTATGGCCGTTCATTCAACTAATGTCCATCAAGGTCAAGATGGTCAAAGCATGCAAAAGTATAAAACCTAAGCAAGAAAAAAAAAATGTCCCCCTAAAAAGACAAGGGTCTTGTTGAATGTGAAATTTATGTGACGAAGAGTATCACCACGTCAGAGTGAAGAAAGCATTATATAAAAAACAGCACTGGATAATTATTTAAAATTTTGGAGCAGATTAATTCAGGCAAATATTTTACAATAAACAAGTAAATGTACATGGATTATGAAGTTTTAAAAATGAAACAGCATCCAACTAAAAGAAATTGGACCGAAATACTTACAATATCCTGGAAGAGACAGAGGTGCCTTTGTACATTTGAAAACAATGGGAGAACTCATAAAAGAAAAGATAGATAAGAAAAAAATTAAACTATTATGCAAAAACAGTGAAAGGCAAATAATATAGTAGGAGATGTATTTGCCAAAAAATGTTAAAGTTTATATACATCCTGAAGACAAATTTTAAATAGCAACAGAAAACACATACAGTTATCTTTTTCTATTAAAGAAATGAAAATTCATATCAAAATGAGTTACAGACCTCACTTAGCAAACAAGCAAAACTAGAAAAAACAAGTTTAATTCCCAATGACGATGTATGGTAGGAAAAAAAGTACTAGTGGTACTGTAAACTATTAAGTCTTTTAGAAAAGCAGTTTGCCAATGCCTACCAAAAGCTATAAAGTATTTTTATTCATTAATCAATTCAATTTCAGTTCTAGGATTCTGTCCTAATAAAACAATGTGAATATGGCAGAAGCAACTCACACAAAGATATTCCTGAAAGCATGTTTTCAAAACAGTAAACAATGGGGGAATAGATAAAACAAAACAAATTTAATCAATATAAAATTTCAAGCTGAGCCTATAGTTGGTACTCAGTACATATTTTTTGAATTAGTAAAAATAATTGCCTATAATATTTTGATGATATATGCCAAATATTTTATTGCTCATTTACAATGTGATTAACACAATAGAGCTTATCTAGTATAAAGAAAACATAGTTCCCCTGAGAAACTGTACTAGTTCACATTATTATGTACCCTCTTAGTTCTCTGTCAGTTTACAGGCTAAGTCAACATAGCAAAGTGCAGCCTAAAGGTTTAATTTAATCAACACAGACACAATAATGTAGGTAAATGAGGTTATGAAAAGTTGAGTCTGGATGTAAACACCTAAAGTAATTAAATTAACTGGATAATTAACAAAATTCTTTCACTTGTAATATGTAAACGGAGTCTTAGAAATATAATTGTGACATTTTTCCCCTACTCCTTGGTAAAATTTTGTCCCAAAGAGTAAATAAAGCATATAGTTAGTCATATAAAAATCAAAGAATATTTGAATTCAAAGAGAGCCTGGAGTTTATCTAATCCAGTATATTCAGTCTGAAAATAAGTTTCAGGCTTAATGATACTAAATAATTTACCCCAATTTCTGCTAGTATATATATGTCTTAAGACAAGCTTCGACAGTCTCCAGCACATTTTTGCCACTGAAACATGCTGACTAAAGGTCTAATTGATTTGTTCAAAGTATAGATAATTTTGCTCCTGAAAACTTAGCAAAAATCAGACTTCATTGTTTATGATGTAATTTTGCTTAAAACATACATAAAATAAGCCTAGGTCAACACAATTTGCAGCTATTAAGTATAAGGACATCTCTACTCAGCCATTTAAAAATATAAATAATGATAGATCATCATAAATGGAAAATATATACACAGGCTTTCTCTTGACTTTCATTTAATATTCTTAAAAGTCCATATATTACTGAAATTCACCTAATCAGAATAAGCGTGGTGCTTATACACAGAAGTGGAGCATATTTACATCAGCTAAACATAATTGCACAAAGAAATATATTTATAATATAAGCTACTGAAAAATATTTCTAAATTCTATTCTCTACACAAATTTATCAGAACTAAAATGTAAAAATCTTTACTAAAAGTTGTTTATCTCTTTTCTGCTACCCCTTTGTTCTTAACTATTTTAAGGTATTTTTGCTGAAGACAAAAATTACCATATTTCTCCAGTTTATTTCATCTCCAACTTATGTCAATGTCTCTCAAAATATATACAATATTGACACCTTAAAACTTCGAAAACAGTGAATAAATAAATCTACATTTCACCACTAGATGTCATCAAAGATCTGTTTATCAAAATATCAGCATCCCACTTTTGGCCATTTGACCTCTGCCAGAAAAATTATTCTATTTCTCATCATAATCAGAAAACAATAATTTTAGTAAAATATTTTATCTAATTCCTCAATGTTTAAATAATGAGTTTCCGTATGCAACAATATCTTAAAAACACACAAAAATAACCCAAATATATGTTAATAGAGAAGTTACTTTATCATTTCTAAATTCCTAATAGATGTAATTAATAGGCTTTACCAATGTGAGAGTAATTTTATAACTAATACATATATATATATTCATAAATATATATGCATATAATTTCTCTGTCATTTTTATTGGAAAATACATACAAGTTGTCCTCTTTTACTATAAGATAACTCACCAATGGGGAGGATTATAACACTATTTGTAATTGAAACTGTTCATATCATTATAACTATTATTATCAGCCCCAAGATGGAGAATTGGATAATTAATTTACATGTTTAATTAGCCTAAATAATTTTAATATATACTTTTCATTCATTGTATTTATTCCCACAAGAAATAATAATGAAATAATTTGCCTCATGTAGTTTTATGGTAGAATTCCAGAGCAAATGTTCATGCCACAGATATAATTTTATTTGAAACCCCAATCTAATAATCTGCTTTTGTTGCTTAGAGTAAGTAAGTTGGCGTTCATTTGAATTGGCATACTTCCAAACTAAAAGAGATCAGGAAGGGAAAATTCATAATAAAATAAAAAATACATTCTCTTCAATAGAGACTTTTTCTTTAAAACATTCTATTAAATATCACTTTGGATATTAAATATTTTCCCTGATTGTGCTTTGTAGTATGTTTTTTTCAAGATAAAATGTAAAATAATTGAAATCCTTATTAGACAAAATAAGAGGTGCATAAGTAACTGGATAAATATTGATATCATTTACAACATGGCGATATCTTGGGGGAAATTGTGGTTTCTGTTCTGACATTTTAAATTTGGAATCCTTATTAGACTTAAAATAGAGATGACAAGTAGTTAAGTTGAGAACTCCAGATGTAGATGAGAGGTAGAGACGTAAATTTGGGATGGTAATGTACGTATGCTAATCAAAGACATGCGGCTCTGTGAGATTATACAGGACGGAAAGTAAGGCAGGCGAGAGAAGAGGACCCAGCGCTGAACCCTGACGTGGTTCGTTCACAGGTCAGGCAGCAGAGGCACAGCCAGAAATCCAAACGGAAACAGTCGTTGAAAAAGGAGGGGGAATAGGAGAGTACGTCTTTAAAAAACAGTAACAGCTTTCATCTTGGGGGAAATATCATGTACCAGGCACATTTAATACCATTTATCTGTTAGTATTAACCCCTCAATCCCCACAGCAGCCACATGATGTAGGTAAACACAGGTACTATTATCTCCTTTTGTAGAAGAATAGACTAAAAAGAGAAAAATTAAGAAAAGCATTTTAAGAAAGAGGAAACTGTCAAATATGCTGAGAGGTTGAGCATGACTAAGGTGAAGACGTAAAAGTGAACATTTTATTTGGCAAGAGGGAGGTCATTAGTGATCTCAGAAAAAACAGGTTCAATAGGATGAATGTGAGAGTTCGACAAAAGTGTGTTTTATAAAAAATAATGGTACCTTTTTGAGAAGTTTCTCTATAAGAGAAAGAGAAAATATAAATGTGTTGGAAGGAGACACTGTATTAAGAATTTTTTTTCAAGATATGAAAGATACCAAGAAATATTTTTATTCAGCTGCCTATTATCCTATATATGGAGAGAAATTGCATAGGAAAGATAGTGATTAATTACTGGAGCAAAACTGAAAAACCAGAATGTGATCCAAACCATAAGTGGAGAGGAACTAACTTTTTTTTTTTTTTTTGAGACTGAGTTTTGCTGCATTGCTGGAGTGCAATGGCGTGATCTCAGCTCACCGCAACCTCTGCCTCCTGGTTCAAACAATTCTCCTGCTTCAGCCTCCCGAGTAGCTGGGACTACGGGCACACACCACCATGCCCAGTTAATTTTTGTATTTTTAGTAGAGACGGGGTTTCACCATGTTGACCAGGATGGTCTCGATCTCTTGACCCTGTCCCAGAGTGCCTCGGCCTCCCAGAGTGCTGGGATTATAGACACGAGTCACCACGCCGGGCCTGGAACTAACTTTTTGTGGGTGCTGGGACATTGTGTATTTTAACAGGAATTGGGGCAAAAAGAATATAGATACTGAGGCAGGGACGGTGGGTAGGTTTGATGGTGAGTATAAAAGGATGTTCATAACTATTTCTGTTGTCTAAAAGAAATATGATGTACAGTCCACACCTGAATATTATAGGGAAGAGTGTAGAAAGATTAATGGAAAAGGTTGGGTGCAGTGACTCACACCTGTTGTCTCAGCACTTTGCAAGGCTGAGGCAGAAGAACTGCTTGAGGCCAGCAGTTCAAGACCAGCCTAAGCAACATAATGAGACACTCAGCTCTAAAAAAAAATTTTTTTTTATAAAGCTGGGTGTGGTGGCACATGCTGGTAGTACAGCTATTCCGGAGGCTGAAGCAGAAGGATCACTTGAGATTATGAGGTTGAGGCTGCGGTGTGTTATGATTGCACCACTGTACTCCAGCCTGGGTGACAGAGTAAGAGGCTGTCTCAACAACAACGACAACAACAAAAAGATTAATGAATTATGCAAGAGAATTTAAAAATAGCGCATCTACTAAGAAAGGGTAAAGAGATGGATAAGAGTGTTGAGAGGCTATTTAAGATTGGAGTTGTAGGTCTGATGAGAAAACCAGGCCACACCTGGGAGCTGGTGCAGTGATTAGCCCAATGCATAACATCTAGAAGTATGCCTTTGCTGAACTAAAGTGAGATTTTCTTCTGTCTTCACTACATGATTCCGAGCAGGAAAAATTCCATTTTGTATGGATGATGCTTATAGAGCCACGATACTCCCAAAGTTTGGCGTTAAAGTAGTGTTGTATTTAACAAAGTTTGAGATTTCAATTTTAACTCATGTTACTTGAATTGAACCACAGCAAATGGTTCTTTCTTATTCTCTAACATTCTCAAAACTCCAGGGGTCTTCCATTCTTCTGGCCTATTACGACTCTTTCCATTCATGTCACATAGCATTGTGTATTTAGTCAAAATTTATCTTAGAGTTGTCAAATGATTAGCTGTTGCTTGATCTCTTGAGTATTTAAAGTAATTCCTGTTATGTTTTTCATTGTTACCATGGCTCTTTTATCAAAGAGTTGGATGATATTACCTTTGAGAACATTAATTGTACTAAAAATCTCAGCCTGGGCATTTTCCATGCATCATACCTTCAAAAACCTCTTGTTGTCAAACTTGTCACTAGACAGTAGGGTCTTTGTGCCAAAGGCCACGTCTTTTTCAACTTGGTATCCCACAACACATAGTCCTGTGCCTAGCACAGACTGGATGCTCAGCACGTTTCTCTGAATGAACAGATAAGTGTATTATTCTGCTGAGGAATCTAAAATAACATACACAGACAAGCACTAAGCAAGAAGGGAGAAGAAAATGAAACATGAATGTGTGAGAACAGGTAGGCCTTTAATTGTGTTTACAACAAGAAGAGCATGGAATTAAACATTTTGTTGCAGATTACTTGGTGAGATGATTATAAAGTGATAATTTAGACCTACAATTATTTGTCTGAGCATACGATATCAAGCATGTGCCTATTCATTTTCTCACATCTCTTAGGCCAGGGTTACTGATTGTTTCATTTTCTTCATAAAACTGTTCCAGAATCAGCATCAAAAGATATTAAAGACATAGATTTTGCAACATTGAAAGAGAAATACAAGATAATTATTTCATTCATAAAGAATTTTACAGGTAAGTTTCATGATTTAATAACAAAATGGAATGTCCAAGCATATCATCTGAAAATGATTTAATAAGTATAAATTAGTATCTCCACATGACTCACCTTATTCTAAATATTTATCCTTGAATATTGCTAAACACTATTATTATATAATGACTGTACTATATAACAGTACAGTCTGTAATTATATAATAACCTGTATCCCTGTCAAAGGCAGGCATTTGACAGGGATACAGGTCTATGATTTTGAGCTTTCTCCACTAGGTTAAAATAACATGTTTGTATATATTTCTAGTTTGGTTTTTAAAAATAACATCCTTGTTGAGTTCTAATTCTCATCCCATATATTTTAACACATAGGTTATATATGTTGTATAAAATCAGTGAATTTATGCTTTACTTTGTAAGGGCAACAAGGAAGAAAGGCAACTATTTAATAAAGATTCAGAAATAAGTTTATGAAGGATCAAGAACAACTATTCCACTAGACTTTCTCCAGAGAATCAATTACTTAGTAAACCTCACAGCCTCTATTGAAAACATCCTGTGCCTGACACTGAGGATAGGTCAATGAACTAGACAGGCATGGTCCCTGATGTGGAACAATTTAAAGCCCAGAGGGAAGGGGCAAAATGTATATATGTGCTTCGTACTCAGAGAAAGCCAACAAGGGGGTCTTATTTGAGTCAGAGTGGCCAAGAGTTAACAGTTAAATATATTTTGTCTCGTCTTACATAAATTTAGCTTTATTCCCAACACAAATTCTCATCCTAAATCCTAACATATACTGACATAGAAGCGTTAGGATAAATAATGAACTAGAATGCTTCTTTTGTTCATTCAGCAAACATTTTATGTATGCTTCCCTTGTCTTAAGTGATGGGAATGAAAATTAAAAGGTCACTGACATGGTTTCTTTAGTGGAGAAACTGATATGTAAGTAATTATGATAAGAAGGCACGAGCACAGAAAACCAGAAGAAAACTTGAGAACAGGGAGCGTAACTCAGACTGAAAAGATCTTTCTCCAAAAGGCAATATTAGGGTTATGATCTGAAGAGGAAACATCTGGCCAAGGAAAGGGTGAGGACAGAAGTGGGAAGAGGTGAGGAAAAAGATGGTAGGTAGTGGGAGCTCCAGAAAGAAACAGAGATACTAAAGTTTATGTTTATTAAAAATAGCATAAAGCCACAGGGTGCAGTGGTTATGCCTGTAATCCCAGTACTTCTGAAGGCAGATGGATCAAGACGTCAGGAGATCAAGACCATCCTGGCTAACACGGCAAAACTCATCTGTACTAAAAATAGAAAAACTAGCTGGCGGTGGTGGCAGGCGCTTGTAATCCAGTTATTCAGGAGGCTGAGGCAGGAAAATGGCTTGAAACAGGAGGTGGAGGTTGCAGTGAGCCAAAATCGCTCCACTGCACTCCAGCCTGGGCAACAAAGAGAGACTCCATCTCAAAAAAACAAAAACAACAGCAATAAAAAAATAGCATCATGTGGCCAGGCATGGTGGCACATGCCTGTAATCCCATCACTTTGAGAGACTGAGGAGTTTGGATCACGAGGTCAAGACATGAGACCATTCTGGCTAACACAGTGAAACCCTGTCTAAAAATACAAAAATTAGTAGCGAGTAGTGGCAGGTGCCTCTAATCCAGCTACTCGAGAGGCTGAGGCAGGAGAATCGCTTGAACGCAGGAGGCCGAGGTTGCAGTGAGCCGAGGTTCTGCCACTGCACTCCAGCCTGGTGACAAAGCAAGACTGTCTCAAAATAATAATAATAATGCATGTGATAAATTTCATTTAACTTGATTGAGCAGGTAGGGAGTGTAGAAAGAAAAAAAAAGAAAAGAAAAAATGAGTTTGGAGATGGAGATGCAGTTAAGCACCAAATAATGAAGGGTGTTATATTCCAGTCCAGGTTTTATCTAACTGTGAATAGAGAACTGCTTAAAGACCTTGAGTAATTACAAATAGAATAATCGCGTTTGCATGTGTACACAGACAATTCAATAAGTGGAAGGAAAATAGGTTGCAGGAAAGACAGCCTGGAAGCAGAGCGAACAATTAAGAAACAGTGACAATAAGCCAGGTAAATGTTGCTGACCAGTTGAACGAAGACAGCGGCAAAACAGCAGACACTCCAAAGATACCAGGGTGGTAAACTAACAAGACTTTGTTACTGGTTGAAGATGGTGGGTGAGGAAGAAATCTAAGATGACCCAAGGATTTATTGACTTAGGTGGTGGTATTAATTCTGGTGTCACTATCTAAAAGAGGAAACGAGGAAGAGGATGAGATTAGAGAAACAGAGACAAGAACAGACTGATATTATTCAATGTATTATATGTGCCAGCCACTGTTCTTCTGTCACAGTTTTAATTCAGCTTTATTTGCTGCTGAATTTCAAACATGAATCTCCAACCACACTTTCTTTCTTGAGTTCCGGATTTGTGTATCAAAATGCCTCCGGGATATTTTCATTTGTATAGCTTGATAAAGAACTACAGAGTAAAATCTGGAAAACAAGATTTTATTTAGGCAAGAGGAGAGAATATGTATGTATTGGTAATTTTTTGTTGTATTAATTTTTAACTGAAACTATAGAAAGTAAGTAAAATAGAGCTATGGATACAAATAAGTTAGAATAAGTGGCAGCAAGATGAAGAAACACTTGCTTTGGGAATTATTTATTTCAGTAAGTAAAAAAAGAAAGTCTGTTGAAACCAATGGAGGTAAATTGGCAAATAAAAAAAAAAAACTGAGGGGAAAATGGTGAAGGATTGAAATAGCTACAAACAATAAGAGAGGGGATCAAAATGGAACACATAAAATGATGTGTATCATTGACAATTCAACTCAGATGAGGACCTTGACCTTTGGGATTTCAATTTTGTAGCACCAATCCACGTGGCTATTTGATTTCTGTAATATTTCTTACCAGTCCAGGTACAGGAATAGAGAACACAAGTGGTTGGATTTATCCAGGATTGGCCTTTTTCTTCATGAGTGTAGCAGGAAAGTAGATTCAAGTTTTGTGCGTGTAGGCAATAGAACTCTTTAAGTTAGAGATCAAAGGCCCAGATTGATTATCAAATAAAATGTATCCAGAAGGAATCTCTTAGATTGATGCGAACAAAAAGAGCAGTTATGAGCTGAACATCAATAGACTGTAGTGGGAATGGGAACTGGAATGTTAAGAGGCTAAGAACAGAGAGGAAATCTTAGATTGGAGTACCTCAGAAGTGGGGAGACCCTGGGTGATGGATGCAAAGCCTCAGATTTGGAATGGAATTGCTGACCAAAGAGGAAGGAAGGAAAAGGTCAAGGGCCTTGACAAAACCAAGAGCATCTGATATTAATTTTTCAGATGGCCCACCAGTATTGGAAGGACTTTGAGGCCACTAGTCCAACCTTCTTAAACGGAAAAGTATATTAAGTTGTGACCTTCAATAAACATTGGCCAAGGAGCAGGCATCCTGAGCATGAACTAGTCACCCATCATAGAACATCCTATGCAAATGATTTAGCTTAGGTTCTCTAAAGCAAGTATAAAATAAGTCAGTGATACTTCCTGGGTTTTAAAATTTAAATATTATTTGCATACAGTAGTTTGTGTTTTTTACTTTTGTTTTCAGAAGAAGAAAATGGTTGACATGATTTGAAGGGAAGGATCTTTTGATTCCCTCTTGGGCAAAATCACTTTATCAAAATCCTAGAGGGAGGAGCAATAGGGAATGTAACAAATGTCCTCTTGGAGTTGACATCTAAATGACTTTTCATGGTAGAGGCATGGAACGAATCTAAATTCTCCCACCTCATGTTAATGTTGCTCAGCCAGCTCTATTATCTTAAACTCTCAGTTCTGACAGCGTATCAGACAATTAAATCCTATTTTTTAATCCTAATATAAATGTAGCACTGGGCTTAATATGAAAACAATGTTTTTCAAATATGGATTTAAAAAATTCTATGTTTGTGGTTTTTAATTTATTAGATCATACTGTCATTCACCACTAGTGGAAAGAAATTCAGAGTTGTTTGCTTTCCTGGCCTCATTTTCTCACTTTCTCTCCAAAATGAATCAGGATCAAGGAAGAAAAATCATTTTCATTCATCCCTAAGGAGGAGGAGTATTGCTTATTGTCAACTCCTAGGATATAATAGGCTCAATGAGCTAGAACAATCTAATCAAATCTTTGTAAAAGGGGTTAAAAGGTACTGTATCCGCAGGGCTCCACACTCAAACTTGAAACTTTCCCTAATTCTGTTACTTTATAGTCTGTGTTCATTACCTGTTGGTGGATAAAATATATTAAATCCGAGAAGAGAGCTATTAAATTAATAGTAAAATGTCTTGATTACTTGATTTTTTTTGAGACTGACTCTCGCTCTTTTGCAGGGCTAGAATGCAGTGGCGTAATCTGAGGGCACCATCTCTCGGCTCACAACAACCCCCTGCCTCCCAGGTTCAAGCAATACCCCTGTCTCAGCCTCCCGGTTAGCTGGGATTACTTCTTTTACCACACTTCATTATTGCTCTCAGTTCCTTCAGCCATACAGAAGTTTGGTTTACCTGTCTTTTTCCTTTCAAACATTTGTGAAGCCTTAGTAACCACATTTGATATGATTCTGGGATGTGGGTTTGGTATTTAGAATTCATACTTTTGTGAAATGGAGATTAATAAAAACAGAGTAGTGACTACTCAAGCAAAACCAAGAGCTGCAGGAATAAGCAAGTGCTGATTGAATAAAGTGAATGGCTACAGTTAAAATCTCTGAAACATATAATATATGACATTCGGTTATTATATTTCCTGTATAATAACTCCTTAATGTAGTCATTTCTTTTTTTATACCAATGATATTATATAGTAACCTATGCACACCTATTTAATTCACGATTGCTTATATAATTGTAATATTATTACTTATATACTTAATCTGTCACTGTTATTCTTTTTTTTTTTTTTTTTGAGATGGATTCTCACTTTGTTGCCCAGGCAGGAGTGCAGAGGCGTGATCTCAGCTCATTGCAACCTCTGCCTCCCAGTGTCAAGTGATTCTCCTGCCTCAGCCTCCCAAGTAGCTGGGATTACAGGGGCACACTACCATGCTGTCTGATTTCGTATTGTTAGTAGGGGGTTTCACCATGTTGGCCAGGCTGGTCTCAAACTCCTGACCTCAGGTGATCCACCCACCTTGGCCTCCCAAAGTGCTGAGATTACAGGTGTAAGCCACCGCACCTGGCCTGTCACTGTTATTGTTGAACACAACTGTCAGTCAATACTCCTAGGCATTTATTTTTCTTTACTATATTAAGTACAAAATGGTTTATAAGTTGTTGGATTTGCTGGATTCTTTTACCACCAGAACCTATTTCTTTGCATATTTAAAATGAAAAAATGCTCATTTCTCTTCTGCAAACTAGTAAACTAGTAAGAAGCTGTACACACTAAAACTGTTTTGCAGATTTCCTAAGTCAAGCATAAGTAAACTTGAGTGCTACCCTTTTGTCTATCTACAATTTAGCTTGAATAGAAAGCCACGTTATGCCAAATCATCTGTAACACAAGAAGCTTGACACCAGCTGTTTGGAAAGTTGCACCACATGACCAGGTATTGAACACTCAGGAACATAAACACGCATCTTGGGGAAAGTTATTGAATAGCTAATGAAGGCAGATTGTGTTATAGTAATAAACTGAAGAGCCAAAAGTAAGGCTGACATCAGTCAGAAAAGTGTTTTGTTGGTTTGTTTTTGCCTAGCATGGTGGTCACATCGGTTCATCATGTAGACTCCTATCAGAGCAAACTACCTGCAACTCCTTAATGCGCCACACTCTTCCATAAGTCAATGCCTTTACCATAAGTCATACCTTCCAAAAATTATCTCTGTCTACTTCTTTACCTGATTAGCTTCTATTTATCCTTTTTGACTCAGCTAAAACAATCCCCAGGTGGAAAGTTCTCTCACTCTCCTCTATTTCAATGGCACATTGTCTGTACCCGCATTACAATATATATTCCATTGCTTATTGAAATAGCTTACTTGCTGGTTTTGTCCCCTGGAAGTCAGAAACTATGGCTTCTTCATCCCTGCATTTCCAGTATCACATATAGTGTCTGGCACTTTGTAAACAGAAAACAGTGTTTGTTTGTGTTTTAATAAAGGCAGTACTTACAGCAGTGAGATGAAGAGAATAATAAGAGTATGGACAAAGGAATGTTATTTGGTAGTGTTATAAATGAAGAAACATGATTTTCTACAAACTAATAAATTTTACTAACTTAGGAGTGTAAAAGGTCAATGTGTTTAGAATTGATAGCAAAGTCAGTAGGCATCTTTTGATATAACATTAAGAATTATTAGATAGAAGGTAGCAAATGAATGTAAACAAGGTAAGTGCAAAGACTGATGAAAAAACCATTAAAATGTAGCCAAATGGAAGATTTTAGAACAGTTTTAGGAGAGAAAGAAGATCCAATGAATATATCAAAAACTTCACAACCAGTGAGGAAGAATATCCTATTATCATGCCCATATTAAGGAATGAGACAAGCAGAAAATGATGAAAACACTAGTTTATGATTAGATATAAAAACATCATGAGAATACAGATCACAGAAGAAAACTTATTAAAGCAAATGATCAGATAATTCTTCTTCAATAGAATGAAGAAAAGCGGTAAGCTGGATATTGGAAGAGAGAAAAGGAGCAACTAAAATGGTAAAAGGATGTGCAATGAAAGCCAAGGTGGGAGCTAAAAATAACCTAGGTACATTTGAGGACCAGAAAGAAGACCAGCCCCAGGAAGACAAAATGCTGTTCTGAAAGGTGTAGATGTTTGGGTTAACATTGAAAATTTGAGTTGAAATATACAAAATTTTTTATTTCATAGATCTTCAAGTCTTTTTTTGTGGTGCTGACTGAGATAAACCAAACTAACTCCATCTTAGATGTAGACCTAACTGACTCCATCTTAGCTTCTCCCCCCGCCATGTCTCCCCCAGGTGCACAGCTAGGTCACACTGTGCATCTCCAGGTCACGCTGTGCCCAGAATCTTGCACCTGTTGTAACTGCATCCTGCTTGGCCAAGTCCCTTGCTGATTGTGATCAACCCCCTTAGTAATCAACAATCATGAGAACTTCCACCTCCCCTGGTTACCAGTTTCCTCCCCTAACTCACTTATTCTGCTTCTGTAAAATTCTGCTTTGCCCCCTTAATAGAAAAGGAAATCACACCCCTTCCTCGGGGCCCAGAGATTTGAGCGTGAGCTGACTCTCAGACACTGGCAATAAAGAACTCATGATTCGAACTCAGAATGTGGTGCTTCCCATTCAACTTGCTCAGTTATAACACTGCCAACAATGCAAATGGATATTTAACTCAAAATGAAATACAGAGCTTTCTAGGAGAAGAGACACCAGAACAAGAACAACTGGAGCTATTTGATGCTGATAACAACAAATATATTCCTACCTGGAACTCATAAGAGCATTTGGACTGACTGGTAAGACGATTCAAGAGCTGGAATATCATTAATGGTCAAGTGACAAGTAGTCTTGGACAATGTTCTGTGTTACAGTCGAAAATTAACAGGCAACCCATATTTTCAATTGTTAGTTTATAATTGAAATCCAAAAAGCAAAGTTATAGAAAAACCTGGAAAGTAGCAATAAACCTGGCATCCGAAGCCATACACAAGGATAGAGTTAAAAAAACTGATAATCATTGTTTAATTGCATGACTAGATGGGTTATATATTTGCAAGCTATATATTTAGTTTCCTTTTGTACTTCATAATAGGATTTTAGGATGGCACTCAATACTGTTAAACTTTAAAGATTGAGTATTATAAAATGGTGATATAAGGCTACTACTCATTTAAAGAAATAAGAAATTAAATCAACATAAATTACATGAAATTTTAGTGAATCTAAAATACCTATAAAAATTGTACTGTTTCCTCATCTGGTTCTTTTCTATTTCATTTTCATAGAATATCTTATGTAATATGAACAGATTTACTGTACATATCTAGGAGCAGTTTCTTAACCAGTGAGGAAGAGCAAACACACTAGACCTGGCATCTGAAAGCTGGTAGATGAAGAGAACACACAACTATAAAATAAAATTCCATGTCACCTAATGCTGAATTTATTTATGAATGGAAAACAAAAAATAGTTACATTTCTGTCATTTGCCCCTGATATAATAAATGATAGACAGCCCAGAGATGTTCTGCACCTTGTCTTGATATGCACAAACATGTGAGATGGTGCCACCTACACTTTCAGTGGTATACCCACATTGTCAGATAGGAAATCCATTTATGTTGAAATCCACATCACTAAAACATGTATGACATAATACGGCCCATATGCCTATAGATGCCTAGATATTGCCAAAGTCTTGCACTTGCCAAATTTCATTGACATTTTTGGGTCTTACATTTAAGACCTTTCAAGGTCTTTGCTTGATTTTTTATCTTTCCCACCTTCTCTCTGATGAAATAATAATAATAAAAAGATGGATGACCATTCCAAAATATAGATTGCATAGTTGGAGGCCCCACTTAGCCAATTTAGATAAGCATCTCCGGAACATCACTGAAATATACCAAGTGGAATAAAAATACATTTTGAAAAGTATGAGAGGAATTCTGAGGTAGTTTTTGATCTGTAACCACTCACTGCTGCTTCCTTCCCAGATTGTCCTGGCCTTTGCTATCCACAACTTTGTTCATTGTTATAAGGAAGATGATTACTGCTGCGATCCTAGCTTCAGATACGTTTTTGAATACCTGCCATCTATTTGTTTTGGGCTTTGCTTGTGCTCTAGCAGACATCTGGCTGTAGTTCTAGCATTTGTAACATTGGGGATATGAGTGATGTTAAGTGAAATGTACAGAATCAGAGACAACGCTCATTTTCTGGTGCAAAGGGATCCTGTTAGGAGCACCAAGAATGAATGTTTGAGGCAGGTGTCCACAGTGGAAAGCCAACATCTCTATTTGTACAAGGTAGTTGTCTAAAAATTTTAACTGACCAAGTTGGGGATAAGAAGGGACATATGTGGCTTGATAGTTTAGAGACCATTAAGTTATGCCCCACATGGTTCATGCAGTGCCACATCCAGAGCTTCACACAGTGCCCCGAGGGAGTGCAATGCTCATTCAGTGGTAGCCCTCCTCCCAGTACCCATAAGAAGCACCATATGCACATCCATTGTTTTTGATCTTATATCTTAAATGACATTCATCTAGTACAGATAAAAGATTTTTTTTTAAAAAAAAGCTAGATATTTTCTTAGTTTGCATTTGTAAATTAGAATATTTGAGTTGGCTGTATTTCCACATTGTTAAAATAATAAATACAAAGCATCTGGCTGGACATAGTGGCTCACACCTGTAATCCCAGCACTTTGGGAGGCCAAAGTGGGTGGATCACTGGAGGTCAGGAATTCAAGAAGAGGCGGACCAACATGGGGAAACCTCATCTCTACTAAAAATACAAAAATCAGCTGAGTGTGGGGGAGCACATCTGTAGTTCCAGGAGGCTGAGGCAGGAAAATCGCTTGAACCTGGGAGGAGGAGGTTGCAGTGAGCCAAGATTGTGCCACTGCCCTCCAGCGTGTGCAACACAGTGAGACTCTGTCTCAAAAAAAAAAAAAAAAAAAATCATCATCATTAGATGTACATTTGATACATAGGCACAATCTATGCACCATAACACCATAAACTTGAAAAGGATAGGGTAGCTTGGAAAATACCTAAGAGTAACAGAAAACCCAAGAGAGGAAACTGAAAGCTTGGCAGCAAGAAGATGAGAGAGAACAGGTAAGGAAGGCTATGTCATGTCAGGAGTATGAAATCTAGATCCAGGCTATGGCATATTAAAACTCAGAATTAACTGTGCTTTCTCAAATAGTGCAACTAGTGTATCCCTTCTCTTGGATTCATAAAATTTACTCAGAGGTACCCAAAGTAAATTTCTTCCTTGCCTTCATCTTCTTTGAGATTGCAAATGAGAAGTCATGTATGAGTTGTAAGAAAAATGTTATTTATACTATAATCTAAATGTAGTTTAAATTTCTAAATCTCAAAATTTTTCATTTTAGAATAAGAAGACAGAAGCACAAGAAAGATGATTTGACTTTATTTTGTAACAATTTCACCCTATTTATTCCTAATATTTTAAGCAAGAATTGTTACAGAGGGTACATCTGACCAAGTTTCTAAAACTTGCCAGTCCTTTTGAAGTTTAGTTTTAAAACTTGAAGTTTCTTAAAAGACTTCAAGTTCATAATATTCCCTTTTAAAAAAAAGTTGAGAAAGCATTTTAAATGTTTCAAAAATCAAATTTCTAAAGAATTGTGAGGATAGTTTAAATGCTAACTACACACATAAATATATATATAAATGGTATGAATAATATATATTTTTGTTCAATTTAATATATGTCTTTAGCATTTGTTTTTTCTAATGACCCAAACTTACTTGTTCACTTTGCTATTTTTAAGTACCCTTGCCTTGCCTTACTCATAAGATGAACCTCTCATTTTACCTGGAGGGCAGAATCAATATTGGAGGCAGAATTGAGAATCTTTAATATATCATAGTGTTGGACTTTTCTGGATGTCTGATCTCTGCCAGTTCCTTTGATTTGTAGACAAAATAAGTTACCTAGAGATACACATTCTTGCTAATTTGAAGTTTAATGTTATGCAATTTATTGAATGCATTTACATTCAAAGGTTTTCATTTTCTGTTAAAAGTAAAGAATATTCATGGCCTTCAGCCAAAGTCCTACGAGGGTAACTAAAGCAAAATTATCATGAACATATGAAAATCACCCTTTGAACACTTTCAATACTCTAATGCAGTACTGTGCTAAGTAAAGAAGTAATAGATCCCTCAATTAAAGTATTATCTATTTGCATAAAGGATCTCAGCAACAAAACTTTTCCCTCGGCATTATTTTTTACTTCAATGGAAATATGATCCTAATATTAAGGCTAAGCCTCATAGTTTAGTAGTTATTATCTTCTTAATTAGTACAGGTATCGGCCGGGCGGGGTGGCTCACACCATAATCGCTGCGCTTTGGGTGTGAGCCACCCCGCCCGGCCGATACTTGTACTTTGGATTACTTGAAGCCAAGAGTTTTAGAAGAGCTTAGCCCACATCTCAAAACCCCATCTCTACTAAAACTATGAAAATTAGCTAGGTGTGTGGTAGTGCATGCCTGTTATCCCAGCTACTAGGGAGACTGAAGCAGGAGAATTGTTTGAACCAGGGAGGTAGAGGCTGCAGTGAGCCGGGATTGCACCACTGCAATCCAGTCTGAGCTACAGAGTGAGGCTCTGTCTCCAAACAAATAAATTAAGTAAATATTAAACTACACAGTGGAACTCAAGTCACCTCTGCTCTTAGGAATATGGAATAATCACTGCACAAAATAGGGTTCCTGAAAAGTGAAAACTAATTGTAGATAGAAACTAACACATAAATAAAATACTTTTAATTCTATAAAATTCAGCAAGAACTTCAGGTTTTATTGGTTAATAAATGAAAAACCTGAGAAAGTATTATTACCTGAGATTAATGTTGATGTTGGACTTCTTTAAGTAGACTGACATAATTGTTTTATTTGAATAACGTAATTCTACCTGTAGTTCTGATTTTTCACAGTCTGAACTTGGATTATATATTACTCTATTAAAAATAATCTGCTGATTTTATTATACTAATAAGAAAGATCACCAATCTTGCAGGCTACAATATAAATGAATTCTCCCTTACATCATGTCTGCCTTACCCAAAGTGAAGGTATGAAGGTGTGAGACATGTAAGGATTGTGTGCCTTTGGTTTCCATATTTTAAAAGCTAGGAGTCTTGGTACCAATACACTTACCTGTCCTGCTAACCCTAACTCAGCAACCCAACACCTAAGTGATCGGGGATTTTTAACACTTTGCAGGACTTGTAGAAAAATGACAATATCAATATTTTAATTATACTGACATCTAAGACCCCTCTAATTAAATTTGTTGGAAAAATGTTTTTGCTGTCAAAAATATCAGTAGTATCTGCACATGAAATACATGTCTTCAAAAGCTGGCTAAAACGTTACCATCTCAGAAGCATGATAAACAGCTCTTTGATGCACATTTTAGAGAAGTTTCAATAATAGAACTCCTATAATTCTCAAACTTCATCATATGAAATGTAGAAGTTTTCAATTTCAGTCTGTTTTTCACTATAACGATTGCAAATAACCATTCTCTAATGTGATTTTATATTTACAAGCTGTTTGAATTACTTAGAAGCTAGAATGAAATATGAATTATGCTTTCAATAAAACAGATTGCTGAATTATCCCTTGAGATTTTTCTTTAACTTATTTTAATTCTTTCATTTACAAACCTTTTATTTTTGAAGTGGAGTTGTTCGGTTTTAGTAGCATTTGGGACTGGGTGAGTAGTGGAGTTTTGAAGAGAATCTCTAGCTTCAAGCATGAACTATTTATTACTTTAACGCAAACATTAGCTCTTAGCAACCCCAGACATCCCAATCCTGCCCTTATGTCTCTGTGGAGGGATATTAGAAGTTGCCACTCTAGAGGAAAAATGTCTTCTCATTTGTGTTTGACATGATGATAGCCAGCTACGGATATTTTCACAGTTGCAGAAAATCTTTCTAAATAATAAATGAATAAATACCTTCTTGAAAACTTTACTTTATTATAGACTCTAGCTCAAGTGTGGAAAATTTAAAAATTAACCTATTTACCAAAACTGTCTAACAATAATCTTACTAGGAAAAAAAAAAAAAAACAAACAACAACAACAATAATCAGTAAATGCCTACTATTAACATTCTTAATTCTGGAACAGAATTTTAAGATCCATGTTGATGCCCTTGTAAGGTAAATTCCTCTGTTTAACAATTAAAAAAAAACAGTCTCACATTTAATACATTGTTTCCACACTCATATATACATACAAAAGCTGGGAGACCTTTCTTAGAAACATGTTTATATATATATATATATATATATATATATATAATATGAAATAAAATCTGAATAAAAATTTTATTCCAACAACACTTCTCTATTTTAAATCATGTTTATTATTTAAGTTTTTATCACAGTGGAGATTAACTGATGCTTAATCATCCAATCAGTGCCTACTGTCAACTTAATCAAATTCCAAAAGAGTAAAACCAACTCATTCATACACTCTAAGTCCTCTTACTATCCCACCATTCATTGCCTGTATCTTTTTTCCCTTTTAACGGCAACATCGTAATAAGATTGTGAAAAGGTATAACTAATAAGTTTCTATGTATGTATATTACCATTTCTTCAAGTATTCAGAGAGCAGTACATTTGTCTGCATTGTACCTTAGAAAACTACTTGTGACATTATTTCTAAGTATAGGAGAACAGCTCCTGGTGGGAGAGTAATGAAGTTGTTTTGTCATAGTGTATGCCAAGGATTTACAGCATTCTAGAATTTTCACAACTCTTCCATGTTAGTGAATGACATTAGGTAAATGTTGTATTTGCCTACTCTCAGCTATCAAATGTGGGATTTCAAACTACAAACAAATAAAGCATACACTCAACCAACAAGGGTAGTGCAAGTGCTAAGTAAACAGAATGACATGGAATAAATTCATAGTTGCCAACTAGTGAGTGCTTCAGCAGGGAGGCCCTGATTTTATGATGTCTGTGACTTGCATCCCTGTTCTTAAATGAATACTGTCACTGTTCCATGTCTGCCACAATGACCAGAAAAGGGAATAAGGAGGATGACTGGAACTCATTTTTACAAACAAAGGGTACAATTTATCTGTCATGTCTGTATATAGTGTAAAGTAGGATTTGTTAACAAGATCTCAAATCTCTCCAGACAAAGCAGGCACCAATATGCAAAACTGAAAATGTTCCATTTAAAAGAATTAAATATTGGCACCTAATATAACATAGATTGTATGGCCTAAGCAATAAGAGAGATCAGGAGATGGTTTTTTTTAAAGGTAAAAATTTGGAAATAACACCCGAACATTCAAAAGTTACATCATAGAAAAGCCATCCAACAGTTACATAAACATTCAACAATACAATGGTGCTGTTTAAAAATTCCCTAGAAGCAATAATCTTCAGTACTTTGAACAAAGTCAGAATTTCATTGCTTTGTCTTACTTATGCATTTAACATAATGTTACTCATTAAAGTGAAATAGAAAAAAACTGTAAAATTCTTCCAGAAGAAAATTGTTAGTATTGGGAAAACAAAAGTAAAATGTGAAAACCAATGTATACATTTACTTAATTACATGTCTTTCCCCCAGAAGTGGGCATCCTCTATCAGAAAAGAAAAACGAGAACAAGAACAACAACAAAAAACTAAAACAAAAAATACAAAAAAAAAGTGTGCCATTCTTTTTTTCTTTTCTTCCTCTGCATCCAGTTTTGGGGGAAAGTGTTCTTTCGTGGTAGTGTTCTGAGTTCACACATACTAAATGCTAGAAAAGAAACCTCTGAATCCTGACTATCTTTTTGCCTTATCTTGAATGTGTTGTACCCTCAAAAAATGTAACAAGCAGCCAGTAAAAATTCTCTTAAGTAGGACACATACATACGCACATACACACACACATACACACAAACTTATTAAGAAAAATGAAACCATTTCTGATCTGGGACACACACGTATCAAGATTTAAAACTAAGGTCTGACATAGTCACTTAATTGATTTAAATAATTAAGGCTTCTAAAAGGTTCAGTGCCAAAACTCTCTGCATCAGTATTTGAATCAAATACATTTTTGCATTTTAGGTTTGTGCTTTTTACAGCCATCTTAATTCCACAGAATTTCATTAGTAAGATCTCATAACGGTGTGTTAGAATTGTTTACTGATGTTTTACTTTTAGTAGCTGTTAGACTAAATAATAGCAATAAAAATTCAATGAGTGGACCAATTTATTTCTGTCACGCGGGCTGTTGGCTCATTTCACTTTCTTTTCATGTTTAATATGGCCATTTCTTTTGTACTTGCCATTGAGGATTCCATTGTGGTAATGTCCATTAACTGTGCTATGTCTACTTCTAGACCACAGACTTTTGATTTTTCTGTAGATAAATTTTGTCACCCAAGACAAGAGAAAGTAAAACAAGGCAGCACCAAGCAAAAGCACAAAGGCAATATCCAGTAAAAAATACTGACAAAAAGAGATTTGATGGACAGCGGCACGTAGGTGATGGGCTCCATTGTGACGAATAATATAATCTATCCAATAGATAGTTCGATTGACAGGGTGACCAGGTTGATCCTTGTGGATTTCCGAAAGCTTCCGGGCCCTCTGACGGTAGCTATGGAGAGGGGACAAAACACAGAATGATGATATTTATAATAAACTTCTATATTTATGGATAACTCCATTTAAAAAGGAAGTAATAAAAACAACTATTGTTTATTAAGTACTTTGCATGCACAAGCACTATGTTAAGTGCTTTAAGAATATTATCTTATGTTAACTCAATAAAATATATTTTAAATTGGTGAGAAAAATGAAAATCAGAGAGACTAAGTAATTTGATTGTGTTACGAAGTTGAGACCCAGAATTTTCTGACTCCAAACCCTATGCTGTTTCCACACTACATTACATATAGATTTTCTCTTCACATACTTTTAAATAGTATAAATCAACAAGTTCAACCAGGTTGGAGAGTAAATTTATTAGATTCTAAAAGAAAGATGGAGAAAAAGATACAGAACTTCATTCTACCACTTTTTTTTTAGCAATGATATTTAATTTTGTTTTAATTTAAAATAACATTAAATATGGGGTGAAGATACACTTATTAAAGAAATTAAAAAAAGAGGTGAGAAATACCATGAAGTCAGATTTGATATTATATACAGTATATATGCACAGGTAGTACACACATGTATATATGTATAAAGAAAACATCCTCTTAAATGGTTAATTAAAAAAAGGAAGGCCGGGCGCGGTGGCTCACGCCTGTAATCCCAGCACTTTGGGAGGCCGAGGCGGGTGGATCACAGGGTCGAGAGATCGAGACCATCCTTGTCTACATGGTGAAACCCCGTCTCTACTAAAAATACAAAAAAATAGCTGGGCATGGTGGTGCATGCCTGTAACCCCAGCTACTCAAGAGGCTGAGGCAGGAGAATTGCCTGAACCCAGGAGGCGGAGGTTGCGGTGAGCCGAGATCACGCCATTGCACTCCAGCCTGGGTAACAAAAGCAAAACTCCGTCTCAAACAAAAAAAAAAAAAAAAAGGAAAATGGAGAATCACAAAGTGATAAAATATAAGCATTTTATTTTAATCTAAAAACATGTGACTGCACATTCCTGTGCCAATCTTTGCCAAATGGCTAAAGTTCCATTGCATGAATCCCTGACTGAAGTTTGTATTGTTTAGACATAAAAAATAATTTCCACCTCAAGAGATACAAAATCTATCATGGATGATATAGCACTATTGAGTTTTGCATTATAGAAGAACAAAAGACTGGACATGTGTGAAGACTTGATAAGCCAAGAGAAGAGTGTAAACTAAGTCATAAAAGTGGGAGAGTGAGAATATCCCCAGAACAAATTCATTTGGAGAGTATAAAGTTTAGTCAGAACTTAGATTGGAAGAAGATATGTCTTCCCCATGGGTATTCTGAATGACAAGATATAATAGCTTCTTTCTTAGAACCAAGGAGCCATTAGATGAGGGAGACTGGCTGTTAAACCAGAAGGAAGATACTCATGGTGGAAAGTCCATTAAAAAGACCTCAACAATGGCCAATGAGAGGCTCACTTGTTGACAGGAATTGGTAAGAGTGTGGATTAAATGTGAAAGGAAAGGGAGAAATCATATGTAACTGCAATGTTTCCAGTTTGGATGACTCACGTGGCAGAGTTAATTAACAAGACACAGTAACACAGAACATAGGACATGCTGCTGGAAATGACTACAGTTTGGGATGTAATGAAAGGAAAGGTGAGAAAGCAGCTTGAAAGGTGAGGATGGAGCTATGCAATTACAAAGTCTAATGAAAAATCTACTTAGATATTTAAGAGTTGATTTTATCTTTATTTTTATGGTTTGACTCTAGACCTAAACATTAAGTTTAACAATTATGCAAACAAATTTGAGAGGCAGTGGACAGAAGGTTGTTAGGAGAGAGGGAAAAAGCAAATTAAAGCTATTACATAAGAGCATGTAATTAACAGGCAAGTTTTCTCTCTGGTTGATGCCTCATAAGAAAATTACGACCATATAATAAATCTAGTAGTTTTAAAAATATGAAAGCCTCGCCAATATTAAAAGGCCATCCTCCCTTGCTTTGTAATTTATCACAATTTCTAACTGATGGTAAAAGGGAAACTAGAAAGTTTCTATTACCCATTTTATGAGAAAATGCTTATGAGGCAAAGGAGTCTCTTTAAAAGACAAAAAATGAAACGTGACATCTTAGAAAATAAAATCCAACCTTCTATTTTAACAAAGATGGAAAAGGAGGATAAAAACAATCTTAAGTCTTCAGGTTCCTTAATGTCACTGTGTATATAACCCTTTTTATAGAGATGATTAAACAGATTAAAGAGATGCTTCTGTGGGAAACTGACTTCTTGCACTCTTGAATTAATTATTACCTCATATGGAACTTCAGTATGTTCACTAGGTCATAGATCACTAAAGCTCTTGGCATCTGCCTCAGTTTATCTGAACAAGGACTTTCATCAGTGAGACTCTCAGTCCCACCTAGAAGCAGACTCATAAAGCTGGATGGCAGCTGTACACGGTGTCTCACACCTATAATCCCAGCACTTTGGGAGGCCAAAGTGGGTGGATCGTCTGATGTCAGGAGTTAGAGACCAGCCTAACCAACATGATGAAACCTCGTCTCTACTAAAAATACAAAAATTAGCCGGGCATTATGGCATGCAGCTGTAATCCCAGCAACTCGACAGGCTGAGACAGGAGAATCACTTGAACCCTGAAGGTGGGCTGTAATGAGCCAAGATCATGCCATTGCACTTCAGCCTGGGCAACAAGAGCGAAACGCTATCTCAAAAAAAAAAAAAAAGCTGATTGTTTACTAATTTGATTTTGTATGACTAATCTATACAGAGGAGATCTATGGATCAACTGGAAAGGAATATTAGAGACTTCAGATAAATTTTTGAGGGGTAGGTATTTTCCATGCTGAAACTGACCTCAAATTTAGTGTAGTGGCATTGTTGTATGAGCCCAGTTTACTTCACAATTCAAAGTTCCTTCCAGCAAGAATATGAATGTTGCAAAAAAAATAGTGTGATTAAAATAGCCACTCGAAACATCTCTAAGTTATTTCAAGGGATCTCTTAAATAAAGCCCCTTTTAATAAAAAAAAATACTTTTTATGGGTCTCATATGCACATTAAATTTTACAAAAGTATAAATATCTTCTATGAAAAGTTGACCAAAGTTTTGATATGTGCTGTTAATAATCAACTCTCCATCTTTCTAACTTATCTTGTAACAATAAAAGCTCCAGACTCAAAAGAAACCTCTCAAACAAACAAACAAAAATAGGCTTTTATTAAATGAATCCAAAGCATTAGGAAGCAGAGATGTAAGATGTGTAATTTCACATAAATTGAAGGTTAAAAAAAAGAAATACTTCTTGGGGTGTTTTTTTCTTCTAAAAAGAGAAAATGAGATACATGTGCAGAATGTGCAGGTTTGTTACATAGGTATACACGTGCCATGGTGGTTTGCTGCACCTATTGACCCATCTGCTAAGTTCCCTTCCCCGACCTCCCAGCCCCCAACAGGCCCTGAGGCATTGTTCCCCCTGTGTCCCATGTGTTCTCATCGTTCAACTCCCACTTATGAGTGAGAACATGTGGTATTTGGTTTTCTGTTCCTGTGTTTGTATGCTGAGGATGATGCTTCATTCATGTCTCTGTAAAGAACATGATGTACCACATTTTCTTTATCCAGTCTATCATCAATGGGCATTTGGGTTGGTTCCATGTCTTTGCTATTATAATTGGGCTGCAATAAGCATACATATGTGTATGTGTCTTCACAGTAGAACGATTTATATTTCTTTGGGTTTATACCCAGTAATGGAATTGCTGTGTCAAATGGTATTTCTGGTTCTAGATCCTTGAGGAATCATCACAGTATCTCCCACATGGTTGACCTAATTTACATTCCCACCAACAGTATAAAGCATTCCTGTTTCTCCACAGCCTCACCAGCATCTATTGTTTCCTGACTTTTTAATAATCGCCATTCTGACTGGTATGAGATGGTATCTCATTGTGGTTTTGATTTGCATTTCTCTGATGATCATTGATGTTGAGCTTTTTTTTCATGCTTGTTGGCCACATAAGTGTCTGTTCATATCCTTTGTCCACTTTTTGATGGGGTTATTTTTTTCTTATAAATATGTTTACGTTCCTTTTAAATTCTGGATAGTAGACCTTTGTCAGATGGATAGACTGCAAAAATTTTCTCCCATTCTGTAAGTTGCCTGTTCACTTTGATCATAGTTTCTTTTGCTGTACAGAAGCTCTTTAGTTTAATTAGATCCCATTTGCTAATTCTGGCTTTGGCTGCAATTGCTTTTGATGCTTCAGTCATGAATGTTCATGTCCTGAATGATATTGGACATGGTTTTCTTCTAGGGTTTTTATGGTTTGGGGCTTTACCTTTAAGTCTTTAATCCATCTTGAGTTAATTTTCATATAAGGTGTAAGGAAGGGGTCCAGTTTTAGTTTTCTGCATATGGCTAGCCAGTTTTCCCAGCACCATTTACTGCATAGGATATCCATGCCCCATTGCTAGTTTTTGGCAGGTTTGTAGATCAGATGGTTGTAGATGTCTGTTGTAATTTATGAGGTCTTTGTTCTGCTCTACAGGTCTATATGTCTGTTTTGGTACCAGTACCATGCTATTTTGGTTACTGTAACCTTGTAGTATAGTTCAAAGTCAGGTAGTATAATGTGTCTCCAGCCTTTTTTGTGTGTGTGCTTAGGATTGTCTTGGGTATATGGGGTCTTCTTTGATTCTATAATAAAACTTAAAATAGTTTTTTTGAGCTCTGTGAAGTATATAAATGGTAGTTTGATGGGAATAGCATTGAATCCATAAATTACTTTAGGCAGTATGGCCATTTTCACAATATTAATTTTTTCCCATCCATGAGGATGGAATGTTTTTCCATTTGTTTGTGTCCTCTCTTATTTCACTGAGCAGTGGTTTGTTTCTCCTTGAAGATGTCCTTCACATCCCTTGTTAGCTGTATTCCCCAGGTATCTTATCCTCTTTGTAGTAATTGTTGAATGGGAGATCATTCATGATTTGGTCCTCTACTTGCCTGTTGTTGGTATAAAGGAATGCTTGTGATTTTTGCACACTGAGTTTGTATCTTGAGACTGCTGAAGTTCCTTTCAGTTCAATAAGTTTTTGGGCTGAGATGATGGGGGTTTCTAAATATACAATCATGTCATCTACAAACAGAGATAATTTGACTTATTTTCTTCTGATTTGAATACCTTTATTTCTTTCTCTTGCCTGATTGCCCTGGCCAGAACTTCCAATACTATGTTGAATAGAAGTGGTGAGAAAGGGCATCCTTATCTTGTGCTGGCTTTCAAAGGGAATGCTTCTAGCTTTTACCCATTCAGTATGATATTGGCTGTGGGTTTGTCATAAATAGCTCTTATTATTTTGAGATATGTTCCATCAATACCTAGTTTATAGAGAGGTTTTTACATGAAAGGGTACTGAAGTTTATCAAAGGCTTCTCTGCATCTATTAAGATAATCATGTGATTTTTGTCATTGGTTCTGTTTATGTGATGGATTATGTTTATAGATTTACATATGTTGAACCAGCCTTGCATCCCAGGAATTAAGCTGACTTGATCATGGTGGATAAGTTTTTTGATGTGCTATTAGATTTGGTTTGCCACTATTTATTGATAATTTTTGCATCGATGTTCATTAGAGATATTGGCTTGAAGTTTTCATTTTTTGTTGTGTCTCTTCCCAGTTCTGGTATCAGGATGATGGTGGCTTCATAAAAGGAATACTTCTTTTACAGTATTAGTTACTTGGTTTAAAGTAGAATATCTCAGACACAATATTAGTGAAGCAAACTAACCTTTTCAATAATTATCACCTGTTAAATGTGGAATAGTATCACATTTGAAACAAAGAAAGATAAATGACTTTAGTTTACATAATGACTTTTAGCAAAGGACACACTACACAAATCATTAGCATTTTTACATTGACTATGACATCTTTCTATGTACAAAAGCCTTTCAGTTAAATATTTAAGGTTTTCAAGTTACATGCAATTAACTCATTAGCTGATATGCATACTTTTGGGAATGATATAAATGTATTCACTGCACAGAATAATTCTTAAATAAGCACTTACATATCTTCAATATTCTATAGCTGAAATTAAATTGCAGTGTGACTTAAGATTGTAACCTGTTCTTGCTCTGATTCAGCCTGGCTCATGCCTCATAAAACACAGCTGGACTAACTTCCTGTAAATAACCTAGACTTTTGCTCTTTCTTTTTTAACCAACTCAATCTCAGCAGTTCTGCCACTGTTTCCCATAATTCTACTTAGGACTATATTTTACAAATCTTCCTAAAAGACTGAACACACACACACACACACACACACACACACACACACATGAAATAACATCATGTTTTGAAAAGCACACCTTAAAAGAAAAACTACAGATAACAGAAGAAAGAATATACTCAGGCAACCCTAGTTAAGAAACAGATTGCTCCAATGCCAGAGCTGTATCCGACACGGGATCCTTTAAGAAACTAAAGCATGAAGGTCACCCCTGAGCTCACATAAAGGCAGCATAATGAACCTCAGTTGAATTCAGCATTTTATATGCAAGCTGCATCTTTTTATATAAAATATTTTTTTTTTATTATTTGTTGTTCCTTAGAATGTGGCAGTGTTTCTCAAGCCAGTGTTAAGCCATATCCCCTGGCTATAAACAGAAAAAGTTATACTCTTCTACTCTTTAATGCTATTGGAGATGCAAGATAAATTAAATATCATGTCTAAAAATGAAGAAAACTGCTGCTTTGTTTTAAAACTACACAGGCCAGTTCTTCACCCTTTGAGACTCATTTGTAAACTAGCTTAACTCAGGACCCATCAAGAATTTGAAAAGCAAAATAAAATAAAGATTCTGCTTCATCATTCACCTGTGTAAATAAATCTTGGTATTTCTGCAATACTCAGTGCTAGGGAAACCCAGCAACACTGGGCTTACCACACAGTACAAAGAGCACTGTCTTGGGAATCAGACAGTCTTGGCTTCTACTTTGGACTCCTACTGCTGTGTGAGCCAAATTACTTAAGCCCTCTGAATTTCAAGTGCCCTGCCTGTATAATGTGAATAATAAATGCTATGATATACAGCCGTTATAAGTATGAAAATGAAATAAAGCACACAACATTTGACACAATGTAAATGCCCAAAGATTGTTCACACTGTGTTTTCTCCTTCAGTTTGGAAAATCCCAGTAGAATATTATTTGGTATCATAACATGATAGTCAAATGACTGCTGTTTTTATTTTCTAAATTGTAGAAAACATGCATAAAGCATTATCACAGGAATCTAAAGGATATTTCCATAATTTGATAATTTATTAACAATCTATTAAAAATAATTGGCTACTGACAATATTCTGTGGTGTATATATTCATCAGCTTTAATGTTAATTGAAACCTTACCTGGGATTATTGATAACTTTCACCAGTGCTTCATAGAGCTCTTTTTCAGTAACTGTCTTCCATTCTAATAATATCCCCATGCCTTTTGCCTGTACCCTGGTCATAGTATCATAATGGTCTCCAAAGAGTGGAATTCCCACTACAGGCACACCATGATACATAGTTTCAAAAATACTGTTCAAACCACCGTGGCTCAGGAAGGCTTTAATCTTTGAATGCCCTGAAGAAAGATGAAAAAGAAAACAACTTACATTATTACTCTACAGAAGAGATTTTCCCATAAATTTATTAAAAATTGACAGTACAGTAAACATGCATTTCAGATAAAGGATTCCTAAAGGTATAATTTCACCAGTTCGATCTTTGAAAATATACATGTGCCAGGTACAAAATTACTGTTGTGGGAACCATGGTCTCAATGGGGCTCCTGAAGCTCTTCCATCCTGAAGTCTAGTGGAATTGGTTAGTTAGTGTCTCTAGCCCTTACACACAAGTGGCTTCTCTGACTCTTAGGTCCAACTAAAGGATTTTCCCTAAAAGTGGATTTCAAACTTTATTTTTAGCAAGAACTCCTCTCTTTGAACAACACCTACCACCAAGCCCAACAGTAAAAAATAAAGCAGAGGCCGGGTGCGGTGGCTCAAGCCTGTAATCCCAGCACTTTGGGAGGCCGAGGCGGGTGGATCACGAGGTCAAGAGATCGAGACCATCCTGGTCAACATGGTGACACCCCGTCTCTACTAAAAATACAAAAAATTAGCTGGGCATGGTGGCGCGTGCCTGTAGTCCCAGCTACTCGGGAGGCTGAGGCAGGAGAATTGCCTGAGCTCAGGAGGTGGAGGTTGCGGTGAGCCAAGATTGCGCTATTGCACTCCAGCCTGGGTAACAGGAGCGAAACTCCGTCTCAAAAAAATAAAAAAAAAATAAAGCAGAGCTGTTATGTAGAGAGGAGGGGGCGACTATGAGATGAGGGGAAGACATTGATTTCGTTCCTACTTCTCATCCTGGAAGAATCTTTTGATCCTAGAAGCTATTAGAGGACTCACAAGGATCATGCTTATTGTTAAAAAGGATACTAGTTTTGAAAGAGTCAGAGAGCTGAGATTGAGAAGCATAGAGGAGCTATGGACTTGAGGAGGATGATCAAGCACGAGCATTACAGTAGAGCCTCACAGTCAAAAAAAAAAAGAAAGAAAAGAAAAAGGAAAACAATAGCAAATGGAAAACCCCACACACAATAAAGTTTAGATGTTCATACATAACAGTGTTACACTGAGATAGCTGATAGTCAAGTTATCTTACTTAAATTTCCTGCTTCTTTCCTTGGATTCCAAGCAATCTAAATCGTAATAGTAAACCCATAAAAGACTTAAAAAGAAAAAAAAAAATACAAGTATCAAGAAAGATAAATTGCCTTGTATTCTTTTTTCTTCAGTTTTAGAATCTATAGAATCTAGTATAATAAGCTAGCTGAAAGAAATTATATACATAAAATTCTTTACTGGCTTTTAGTTACAAAATTCAATTTGCTAACTTTTAGGAGAATCACTATAGCTGGATTAAAATACAGTTTCAATTTCTTTTTTTTAAAGTATAATTTAAAATCAAAACCACTTTTACATAATGTTAGGCATTAGTAATATGGAATAAATGGTGGTCAATATTGTCAAAGTCGATAACCTTTTACAAATTTCCTTAATTGATAATATATTAAAGGATACTATGGCATTTAATCTTCCTAAAAATTTAACGAATAAAAATTTACATTTTTACTATCTGTGCTTATTTGAACATGGAGTTAAATTATCTAGACCCAGACACACTTAAAAGATATGCATATAATGGTTACTATTTTAATTTTGAGAATCAGAATCCCCAAAATTAAATAATATCAAGTGCTTCAAAAATGTCCAGTGATTTAGGAAGAAATAGAAGCAGATAATCCAATTAAAGTTAAAGTAAATTGACTGTTCCCCTGGTCTTCTGCTTCTCTTTGGTTTCAGACAAATGAATAACTTCTAATTTCTCTTGGTTCTCAGACCATCTGTAATAAACCTATAACCTAAATCTACATTCTTATTGTTTTAACTGTTCTACTTTCACCTGATTTCTCTAATAGGCATAATATTATTCACTACTAATTTATATAGTTTATTAAGTAAATAATTTTCAGATAATGAAAATTGGTGACTGGTCTAAAAATTTTAATATAGAGACTCAAATGTTTACATTTTACAAATTCTTTTCCAATAAATAAAGACTTAAAATTTTGGTCTCAAATTTAAGACTTGAGACCCTGGATAAAAAACATAGTAATTCTGCCATATACTACACACATACCGTATGAACCTCTCAAGTAAAAAAATCACATTTATGTATTAAAACCTAACGGTCAAGTAAATAACCACACATCATTGACTTACCAAGCAGGTCATTCTGTGGTAGCCATTCTATGAGTTTAGTGTTGTTTCCTAGATTCTTTGGTTTGGGTCCAGAAAACCTAAAATGTACACCAGACAATTAATCTTTCAAAAATCAAACCATACTCATAGTATGGGCTCTCTGATTAAAGTATGAGATTTAAAATAAATCTCACATGATCTTTTTTTGGTATTCTTAAGAATGAAACCATGCTTTGGTAACAATAAATATTTGATTAAATTTCTTTTCAATAAAAACTTTCACTGGTTAGGGGAAAAACAAATAGTGTGTTTATACAGAGGTCTATTTTCCATTGGCGCCTCATCCTATACACATACAGAGACGGGAAAAATAAACTAAAATAAATAAACCTACTCTAGAAGGTCATTCCCCACAAACACCCAGAAGCTAGAACAAGAAGGGGCAGAGAGGGCCGCCTCTTGGATATTGCTAGAGCAGTCAATATCCCTAATCCTTAACACCCTGAGCCTGAGGGAAGGCACAAGTATTGAAAGAAATTAGAAAGTTCTCTTCTTTAGCTTCATCAGAGATAAAAGTTGTGTGGGGCAAAGCAGGGTGTTTCCTGTTTGATCTTCAAAAGATAAATATGCCTAACAACTGAGAGGGTGACAAAGAGTCTAAATGGAGTAGGTATAAACTGTGCTAAAGGAAGCAGAAGAGGTACTTTCTGGAGTTCAGCCTAATAGAGGAAACCCAATGGGAGTGGAATCTGAAAGGAAAAGTCCTGAACAGTTAGAATAAAATTGGTATCATCGCAGGGCTCAGCCAGGAGAAGTAGAAGCTAATCCTTACCCATTTGTTATAAAAGGAAAATATGTTTCTCAAAGACTGCTTGAGGGACACTTTATTCTGCTCATGGTAGTAACTGTGGGACTAATGTTGTATCCCTAGAGTTCAACAGTGGTAGTATGTGCTCAATAAGTACGTGCTAAAGAAAGTGTTCACGTCTGATTTTTTCAACATTGGGTTGCAATTTCTGAAGATAGTCATGTGTTGGCAAAATCTTCCCAAAAAAAGCTGGGTCAATCTACGGTTCTGTCTTAAACTGTGTTAAATGGTAAGTGATTGTGTTTTTAAAGGCCAGGTTTCTTAAATAAAATAAAAACACATGTAAAGGGGACAAAGTGGGACTTCAAAAGAGTCCACGGTATTTTAGTATTCAAAATCCATCATTTTCTTCCCCAACTGAAAAAACTGATTTGAAGGAGTATATAAAAAGGCATGCAATTACAAGTAATTTTAAAAATTATAATAAATAATAAAAGAGTTAACGAGGGTAGAACTCTGAGGGGAACATAAATATGCATCGGACACAAGAAAAAGTCATCCTGAATCATACCTTCTTTCTATGCCATAAGTTGGAGGTTTCTTTATTCATCATAGAGCCTTATGAATTAATTCCTAGATTTGGATACGCTAAGTAACAAAATGAAAAGTCAAGGGCATCTTGCTAATCTTGCCAGGGAAACAATGTGCTACACTTTACTGGGTCTTGTGGGTTAAACAGGGAGATACTGAGTGTCAATAGCAAAGAAACAATCTGCATTATTACCTTACCTCCATATCACTTTTTGAGGCAATCTCCCCAGAGCTCCTGCCAGTTTGTTAGCAATGTCTTCTGACAGATACTTGACACCAGCTCCAAAAGATACCAAGACAAAGCCATGTTCATTAGCACCATTTACCCATCTTTGGAGATCCTGTAAATAAAGCGGGGCAGTAAGTTTTACAAAGACCAATCTAATTTATAATTGGTGTCATAATCTTTCAAGTAATTTTCTTAAACAGTTAGTAAAGAAAAGAATATGATATTTTCTTCTAAATAACTGCTGTTGTTTACAACATTTCATCTGATAATGCTAACTGAAATAAGGACATATGGTTTATTTGGTAAGATCAGTAAGTAACAAAAACAACTTAAAAATCATTAGCTAAAGCCTTAAAATCTCAGAAAAAGGTCACAAAATGGAAATGACAACGGATACATGGTCAAAGACAAATTTGTATGCAGATACAAGCAAAAGACATGAATTAAACATATGAAAAATCAATCATACTGGCAAAAATTTGTTAATGCACCTTTGACAAATTTTTTCCAGTATGATTGATTTGCATTGAAAATCAAAGCAGTTCATTTTAAGAAATATCACCCTTACTTCATTTTATTCTATAGGCACTAAATTGTTTTTAAGGATGTCATCCCTTTGAATAAATCTTTGCCAAAGACAGCCAGCTTCAGTATAGGAAAACCAATAGAGCCAGGACATGTTGAGGAACACATTAATTCCACTGTAAGAATGACACACTTGCTGTCCATTCATGACTCCTATGCCATATTGCAGTCGTGAAAGCAGGGGCCTGACTCATTCTGTGTTCATAATGTGTGGAGTGAATTGTCACAGTTATATCTCATAGACCCTACAGGTCTCTCACTCAGGAAGAATGAGCTGTTGCCATGGCTGTGTCAGCCACGCTTCTGCAAGTCACAGCAATTTGTAGCATAACCTGATTCGTAGCTAAGGAGTACTGCACAATAAGAAGTATCATCACAACAGCATCACTGCACAGCTCAATTAAGTATTTAATGGAAGATTAAGCCTAAGTTTTCTTTCCTTTCCCTTTTCCCCTTTTCTATTCATTTTATCACCTAAAGTGATTTGTATTAACTTTCTTTATTGCACTTGTTCTTAGCAGAGGACAGAGAGACCACATTTTGTGTCCCCAAAAATTAATTAACAATGTCACTGCATGACCAAGAGTGATGACAGAAAGGAGGTGCATCCTTCTAGCTACTGAATGAGTAAAACAGGCTACGATTATTTGGTAGGGAAGAAAACCATACCAAAACATCTTATTTTCCAGGAAGCTCTATTTATAAATACAGATAATCCCTGACTTACGATTTTTCAACTTTATGATGCTATGTGAGCTATACTCCTTCAGTAGAGACTGTACTTCAAATTTTAAATTTTGATCTTTTCCAAGGCTGGTAACATGCTTGGACAGTGACAGTGAGCTGTAGCTGCTAGTCGGCAATGAAATCAAGGGATGCACACATAACTGTGTGCTGTCTTGGCAGATGATTTTGTCCAAGTGTAGACTAATGCAAATGTTCTGAGTACGTTTAGAGTAGGCTAGACTAGCCTATGACATTGGGATGTTATGTGTATTAAACACATTTTGACTTTAAATATTTTCAACTTACACTAGGCTTATCAGAACAGAACCCCATTGTAAGTCAACGAACATCTATATATAAAACAAATAGAGGCTATAACAACTTTGAATTAAAACTTTTATATTTTGCTACATTTACCAAGAATATCAAAGGTGCTGAAAATTTAATAGTGTTATCCGTGGATTGAAAGTAATAAACAAGAGCAGAATGATTTAAAATTTTATGTACAATCCTAAGCTAGAGGTACTTAAATATAAATGCTACACAGTAAAATCATTTGAATGCATATGCTGTAAAGGAGTAGAAAAAAATATATTCATCATGGTTTCCTTTGGGAAAAATACTCAGTACTTTTAGAAGATAATATTCCACCTGGCTTAGAAGGAAGAGTGGGAACCAAGGTGACATGCAAACTCCTATTTTCTGAGTCAGAGGTGAAAGGCCACAGCAGATATAGTAAGCAGGTGGATGCCTCACTGTCCCTTGATGTAACCCCTCCCCATGATCTCTAGTCTTCAGCCTAAATTCATAGAACATTTGGTGTGATGGATACTTTAAAAGAACATTGAAGGAGTTGGGTTTTGGATTCAGTTGACAAGGTGGAAACGATCTTAAATTTGCTGAACTCATGGCAAAACTTTGAAATTGGAACTTCACAAAAATTATACTGATATCTTCCTGTGAGTTGGGAGGCCTTCAGGATGTCTCACCTATATATAAAAATACAGGATATTTTGGAATTTAAGATCCATCAGTTATAAAAGGCAAATTTACTTAATAACAGCTCTTAAAAAACTTCATGGTAAATGTTTTCAGCACACACACACACATCCTAACTCCACAAATGTAACATTTTTAGAAGTAAAAGTACTTCAGAATCCTGCTCCTGGTCAAATACCAAATTTTAAAACTGGACTAAAAAATTTATTTATAGTAGCAACAAAATCCAAAGACCTAAGAATAAATCTAACAAAAATATACCAAATATACATGACGAAAACTTTACTAAGGAACAAAAGGAAGGAAACCTGCATAAATGGGGATAATGGAACAAGATGACAGAGACAATCAGCTACTGATTTAAGAAAAAGTATGAGATTCTATCCCTCTACTAATATAAGTCAAAGAGAAATTAAAAGTTAAATTGAATTATAATTTAAAGACATTTTAAAAATCAACAAAATAATTAATAGACTGACAAATATTTACAACACACATAATAAAGGATTAATACTAAAATAAAATAGGGGGAATAAGGCCAGGTGCAGTGACTCACACCTGTAATCCCAGTACTTTGGGAGGCCGAGGCAGGTGGATCATGAGGTCAGGAGATCAAGACCATCCTGGCCAACATGTTGAAACCCTGTCTCTACTAAAAATACAAAAATTAGCCAGGCATGGTGGCATGAGCTTGTAGTCCCAGCTCACTGAGGAGAGGCTGCAGTGAGCTGAGATCGCACCACTGCACTCCAGCCTGGGTGACAGACCAAGACTCTCTCCCCAAAAAAACAAACAGGGGATTAAACCACAAGCACCAGAAAGCACCCATTCACAGAACAAAGATAAATGGCATAAACATAAAAAGAAATAAAACCTTCGTTCCACACGACTAATCAGAGACACCAATTCAAATTGTTTTCATGTTGTTTGCTGGAAGGATAAATGTCTTTTCTGAAATTCCCTCTGGGTTTACTGTCTTATTAGCAAGACTTTCTCACTTCAAAGTTATCTTTTAAATGGTCCATATTTTCTTTTCATAATTTTACAGTATCATTTCTTTAATGTTTCAACATTTTATCCAATGAGAATTTATTTTAAAGAGAAAAATAACACTAACATCCATCTTTATTTTTAACCAAATTGTTAGCCGTCTTCTCAACATTCGTTATTTAATATTTCATCTTCTCAATTATTTGAAATGCCACCCTCACAGTCTGTTTCTGAATTCTATTCTGTTCCAATTATCTATACATGTCTGTGCCAGTGCCAAATAATTTTATTTTACATTTTTATATTTGCAATGCTAGATTTTCTTATTACTTTTCATTTTGGGGATTCCATTAGTTACTCTTATACTTAGTACATTTTTAAAGGACCTATCTTTTTTAGTAACTCATCAACTGCCATTTACTACCAGTACTACTACTTCTTAAACATGTTATGAATATTTGGGCATAAGGTACAGACTAAACCTTCCGTTTCACTCAGTATAGGAATTTAGAAATTGCACTATGTTTTACAGTGGCCAGCACTGCATGCACGTTTCTCCACTAGATGGCAGGACAGGAATGGAGCGACATCTGGGCTCAACCTGCATTACATGCCTCTACCCAGACTACTTCTATGGGTACAGGGGAACCTAAACCAAGGGGAAAAGCTGACATTTTCAAATTGAAAAGAAAATGACCCCAATAAGGGACCAAATACTGAACCGAAAGTCAGCAACACTGATAGGCGCTCCCTTCACTATATTAGAATGAGTAGTAATTCCATTCCTATACAACTTATGTAACAGATATCTATCTATATTTTGCTGTGTCTTTCGAAAAAACAACCTCACAATAAAAGTAATAATTTTATCTTCTTGTAGGATTAAGTCATCTGACTGAAGTTTCTTGTATGGGAAAAGGGAGCATAATAAGGAAACATGGATAATATACATTCTATTTACCACAATCAGATGCTATATATTAAGTATTTGCATTTATTTTAATAATCATGACCTGGATAGACACTGATTTGTTTCTAGTATTGCCAGAATTCTTGTCCTAGAGTAATTATACACCAAGTGCCTTGACTGGCCACAGGAAGAATGAATGAGTGAGGGGTATGTTGTCCTCCCCAGCCTCCCACATCCCTTCATGTGGTGCTGTCTAGCATAAGCTAGTAAAGCAGCCTAGCTCTGTGAGGTGGAGACAGGGAAGAATAGAAGCTAAGGACCAGAGTCAGACTCGGGGAGCAACTTTGCCCAAAGCATAAAATTTGCATTATTTTCAGGTAATGTTTTGATATTATGGATGTCAAACAATAGAAGATGGAAAAAAAATTCAAAAAAGTGGAAAGCAAGATCTTGAAACTTTTAGAGAAGAAAATCATTGGCTAATTCCTTTTAAAAAATATACTCATCCCCCTATCCAAAAATAAACAGAAATTTTCTATTCATTGTGGCCAATGTAATTACACCCCAATGCCAGAAAATTATAAGTAGCTTCTTAAAAAATGAGTTTCAGAACCAATGCAAGAATAATTAAAAGTTGGATGGTGCAAGCCCTCCTCCATCCTTGGTATGCTAGATTCTGAGGACGTCAGAGTCTTTTAGACCTCTATACATGTCTGAGACTTGGGGACACACTAGGTTTCCATGCTTGTTCCCCAGAGCTCTCTTGATACCAGCCTGCAACCCAAACCCACTCCTTTCTCTCCCCCAAGAATGGGAGCCTTGAGAAGGGCCCAGCACAGTGGAGAAACCTATAACACTGCATCCTTTGTTGGCCCCATCCATTTTGAGGAAAAGAATGCCTG